GGGGGGGGAAAGAACAGACATTCTAAGCAACCGGTGATTGATTCAGAGAAACTGGGGTTGGGGGGGGGGGGGCGCGGCGGCCAGAGGTTTTACAGCGGGAGCAGCGGAGGGGCTCGAGCGAGGCTGCCCCTCTTCGGCCCCGGCCCAGCGCCCGCCGGCTCACCTTCCGCAGCTTCTGGTACCGCTCCTCGGGGGTGTCGAAGCCGTTGGTCAGCGCGCTCACGGACGGGCCGTCGCTGATGCCTGCAAGCAGAGCGAGTCCTGAGGGCTCGGCCGGGGCGAGGGGGCTCGCGGGGCGAGAGGGGGGGGGCGGGAGGGGCTCGGCCCGATACCTGAAAACTCCCCGTCGATGGCCAGGAAATCGGCGTCCTCCACGGCCGCGTAGACGGTGCCCAGCGCGCTCTTGAAATCTGCGGACAGAGCGAGGGTCAGAGCGAGGGCCGCCCCGCCGCCGCCGCCCCCGCGCCCCCGGCCGCCACTCACTGCCCCGGGTGATCTCCATCCCGCCTGGCGCCGCCTCGCCCCCCACAAGGCCGCGCCGGCACTTCCGGAAACAAACGCGGCGACCGGGCGCGCAGACGCGTCTCGGGCACGTGACCAAAGAGCAGCGCGTCCCGCGCATGCTCAGGAGCGCCCGCGAAGCCGCGGCCGCCCGTCTTTGGGCAGGGTTGTCCGGGGGGCGGGCGGCTCGCTCCCCCTCCCTCCCGAGCAAGATGGCGGCGGCGGCGATGGCGGCGGGGCGGCTGGCGGGCGCGGCTCTTCGGTGCCCGCTGACTCGCCTGGCCTTCCCTGCGGGGCAGAGGCGCCGGATGAGCGGGGCCAGCCCGGTGCTGCTGGAGCTGGACGAGCGCGCGGGTGGGTAGGGTGGGGATGGCGGCGGCGGGGACGAGGGGTCTGCGCGGCCTCTGACCGGCCCTTCCCCGCAGGCGTGGCGGTGTTGCGGCTGCAGCAGCCGCCGGTGAACGGGCTGAGCCTGGCGATGCTGACCGAGCTCTGCCTGGCTCTGCAGAAGCTGGAGGACCGCCGGGCCTGTCGCGGCCTCGTCCTCACCTCGGTAGGTCGGGCGTCGGGGCAGCGGGGCGTCGGGGGAGGCCGGGCGGGAGCCTGAGAGCGCTTTCCCCGCAGGCCGTCCCCGGGATCTTCTCGGCCGGGCTGGACATCACGGAGATGTGCGGGAGGAGCGAGGAGCGCCTGAGCGAGTTCTGGAGGGCCGTGCAGGAGCTCTGGATCCTCCTCTACGGCAGCCGCCTGGCCACCGTGGCCGCCGTCAACGTAAGCCGCCCCCGCCGCACTGGCTCCCCGAGCTACGGGAAGGCCCCGCTGGCCGCCCCCTCCCCTCTCCGCCCCCCCGAGCGGGAAAGGCCCGCCTGCCCGTGGCCGTTGCACCCCCCCCCTCCCCCGAGGGTTTCCCCGCACTGCTCCGTCTGGGCTGCCCGCAATGCTCCGCAGCCGCTGCGCCCTCCTCCCCCCTTCCGAAGCACTGGGGCCCGGGTTGGGGGGGGGAGGAATGGTGAGGCCGGGACCCCCGCCCCGCCCCCCCGGGGCCGCTTGTGGGCCGACGCCGGTCTCTTCCCCGCAGGGTTCGGCCCCCGCGGGAGGCTGCCTGATGGCCTTGTCCTGTGACTACCGGATCATGGCTGACAATCCGAAGTACGGCATCGGTCTGAATGAGACGAGATTGGGCATCGTGGCACCTTTTTGGTGAGGTGTGGAGGAAGCTGTGCAAACAGCAGGAACTTTCAGGGCTCTCGTCAGCCCCTTTCCAGGCCAGCTTTGGTTTGGCTCCAGTAGCTGTCTGAATGTCTCTTTTGCACCCAGGTTCAAGGACTCTTTGCTGAACACTGTTGGCCACAGGGCCACCGAGCGCTCTCTCCAGCTGGGACTCATGTATTCTCCACAAGAAGCCCTCAAAATTGGCCTGGTGGATGAGATCGTGCCTGAGGATAAGATCCAAGCCAGAGCTGCAGAAGTCGTGGCCCAGTGGCTGGCCATTCCAGGTGGGACACCCAGGCCGGGACCCGTGGCCAGCCCGCTCCCTGCTTGGGCCTCGGGGAGCCCTTCGCTTCATTACTCTCCCCATCCTTGTGCCTAGATCACGCCCGGCAGCTCTCCAAGTCCGCCCTACGGAAGCCAGTGCTCGACCACATGCTGATGCACCGTGAAGCTGACATCCAGGACTTTGTGCGCTTCATTTCCAGGGATGCTATTCAGAAGTCTCTCCAGAAGTACATGGAGATGTTGAAGCAGAAGAAAGCCTGAGGGGGGGGGGGGCTTTCCTCTCGTCAGAGCTTGGAGGCTCTTCTCCCTCTTGGAGGCTCTCCCTGGCAGCTGCCCCATCCTCTCCTCAACGGAGACCGAACGTGTGGTGTGCCTGACTTTAGTGGCCTTTGCCTAGTTTGGTGCTGGAGTTTGGACTGCAGGGCTCAGCGGGTGGCTAAGGCTGGAAAGGGTTGCTGGGAGGGAGGCAGCTGAGCCACCCTGGGCTGCTTTTCCTAAGAAACGGGCGGGATGCCAGTTGCCAATAAAAACTTACAGTAGAGAGACTGTTTGCTCCGTTGCTGGTGGGGATCCCTCTGAGCCTCTTTAAACCAGGCAAGCGATGCGACCACGGCTGCTCTGGCCACCCCACTGCGTGCGCTTGGCTGCCTTCGTGGGCTTCATCCGGGCTGCCTTTCCAGCTTCTCCCATTGTACACTGGTGCCCCCACCCCCACCCCCCCGCTACAGAAGCCGAACTGCCTCAGAGGATTGGAGCTGCTGTGAGGTGCTCCTAGGCTGGCACCCATTGGGGCGTCTGGGCGTGTGAGTAGACGGCCACTGCTAGAAACTCCCCCAAGTTTTTTTATGCGTGTGGTTTTCTATTTGACTAGTCTCTTTTTTTCCAGTCTGCGGGGAATTCAGATCTAGGGATTGATTCTCTAGAGCAGTTTCTCCTTGGGGAGCGACTTGCGTGTTCTCAAGAGCAGCTGAAGCCGCTTTATTTGGATGGGGATTGTTGTCATCAGTTGCATCCCCCCGGGGGGGAGCAGAGCTGGCCTTCCCCGAGCAGCTTACCAGGTGACTGGCCTTCACTCCCTGCCCTGAGCAGAATTCCTTTTGAGTTCTGCTGTGTCCTGAATGGACGGCTCTGCCTCTTAAGAAATGGAAGTCAACTGTTTTTCTGCGTTAGTATATATTTTTTATCACACTATTTGTCCAAGAGCTGCAGGCATAGTTGCACAACCCATCATTACATGAGGTAAGTTAATGAGTGTTAGGGTCTCAGAGTTCTCAAAAGACCTTTGTCTAAGGATTTGTGCTGTGTATCTCCAGCCTGTTACAAGACCTCACCGTGGCCTTCCCCATTGGGACAAGGCCTGCCCAGTTGGCTGGAGGGAAACCCGGCTGGGGAAGCAGGTGTCACAGCCTTCCCAGCATCCTTTGCTTGCCTCTGGCTTAGCAGGGGCTGGAAAGGGGAGGGATGCGGGGGAGACCCAGCAGAAAAAGGGTCGGAAAGATGGACTCTCGTTGGATGTAGCGGCTGCCACTCAGGCTGGAGCAGTTGTGGAGGAAGTTCAAGCGCATTTCCAGCTCAGAAACGTCAAAGAGGCCGTTCCTTCAGGATCCCAGGCCGCAGTCAAGACAAGGCCCAGCGGGAATCCAAGTCACTGGAAATCCAGAGGTGGCTTGCAAGGCAGGATGTGTGGTGCTGGTGCCTGCAGAGTGGTGGAGGCTGCAGCAAGAAGCCCTGCATCCCTCTCGCCCCACCCTTGGAGGCTGAACAGCCCGGCAACAAGAGAGATTCAGGGGGACGTCAGCTCCACTTCCACGGGGAAATGATCACTAACGGCCAGAGCCTGCGAAAAGGAGGAAGCAGGAGAGGTCAGGGCCCCCCTTGGAGAGCATAAGGAGGCTGCCTGGGGCTCTGGGACAGCAGGCAGAGGCCCTCTGCGCTCAGCATTAGGAGCTTGGCTGCCTGGAGGCGCTGGTGTGTCTAGCTCTGAATGGCCAAGCTGCCCCTGGGAGCTGTCCTGAGGTGGTTGTGACAAGCACAAAAGGGATGTGGGGCAGAACTGGAATCACTGGAGGGGCTGCTTGCGTGATTCAGGGCATGGAGCTCCACCCAAGGGCTGGCTGCATCCGTGATCTGAGGGATTCACGTTGGGTAGAAGTGCAAAAGGAGCCTTTGTGACACCCACCCACCCACCCAGGAAATGGACACCAGGGTGAGTGTGATGACACTCGTCAAATCACTGGCATCCTTTAATGGTGACCGTTTATTGTTCTCTGCCTGGGATCTGAAATACACAGAAGGCAGGGAATGTTTTTACTTAACAGTCTTTAGTTGTAGATGGGGAGCTTTCTAGGCCTTAAGTTAGAACGCAGGACTACCGGTCAGGGCTTCTAGGGCGACATTTTACCTCCTCTTGGCTCAGCTTGAATGCCCTCTGGAAGTCAAACACTTTGGCGGACTTGGGCACAATCCACTTCCTTAGTTTCGAGCCACTCACAACAATCCTGAAAGCACAAATAGGAGGCTGGTGAAGGAGAGCTTTCCTTGGGAATGCAAGGGGGTCTCTGGGGAGCCAGAGGGGAAAAGGAGCCCGGGGACAATTGGGCCCCGATGCCCGGCTGTCCTGGGTACCAGAGAGCTGTTGCCTTCGGCATTTGTGAAGGCCGCCGCCCCCCTCACCTGTCGTAGGCACAGTCGGATTTGCCCACGGTGGTGTCCGTGTCGTCTGAGATGAGCCAATGGAAAACCTCACTAGTGCGCAGACGGATGGAGCTCCAGTCTTTCTTCCCCACGTAGCTGCAATCGGCATTAAAATCCCCCAGGAACATGATGTTCTGCCAAGCAACAGGTTATGGGAAAGGCGTGGAGGTTGACTCCTTGCGTGTTTCCTGGATCTCGCCAGGTGGGGCTCTCCCTGCCTCTGGGTGCCCAGCTTGCTGCTCTGATTGACACCCCCCCTCCCCCTTTCCCAACCCTGCAGTTGCAACAGTAAAGGCTGATGCTACTTTTGTTGCAACACGGACACCCAGCTTCCTTCCTCCTGGCGTCCTCCAGAGGGTGAAGGTGACTCCCTGCCCTTCTGGAGGCGGCCAGGTTGGAGAAAGCAGGCGAGCGGATCCATTGGGAGCCTCTGCCTGGGCCAGAAAGTATCCTGAAGAATGGCTTCCCTGCATGCATTGCCTACGGCGAGCGGCAGCTGCTCACATCAGTCTGCCACTTGTCAATGATCTTCAGGTAGACGTCATAGAGAGCATCGATTTCTGCCACAGCGTCACTGGGGGGCGTATGAAGGGGCACCAGCACCAGCTCCTTCTCTGCAAAAGAACCAAGTCAGTGCCCCAAACGGCCCTGGTCCCATGATTATCCCCCGGAGAGAAGGGCCTGAACCCTCTAGGGAAGGAATAGGAATGGCTGTTCTGGAAGGGGCTGCCGCGTGGACCTCTCTTCCTCGCCATTGTCCTGGGGCCTTGGCCTCCTGCCTGCTTCCCCAGAGCATTCCTTCCTTGATCAGGTCTGTTCTGGCTTGGACTGCAGGCAGCGCCCGCTCTCAATCTGGTATGAAACTGGCCCAGCCTTTGGCTTCACTCACTTGAGCTAGAAGCAGCGAACTTCAGGACGAAGGGAGGCCTGCTGAAGGCGCTGTCGGGGTTGGGGTACTGGTACTGGTCCACGAGGAAGAAGCTCTCTGTCCTGGAAGGAAAGCCCAGGCAGTGAAAGGGGGAGGAGTGGGGAAGGAGCCGGCTCCCACAAGGAGAACTCTGCGGATTAAACGATCCTCCACTCGCCCAGCTCGCTTTCTGAGGGGGCACCTGCAAGTCCTACCTGTACAGGAAGAGATACGCCTCCTTGTAGTTCTCCCGGCCCAACGTCTCGCTGGCCACGTAGTCATAGGGGTGCTTGGAGGCCCTGCAAGACAAGCGCCAGGGCAGCCCCGGGGTCGTGGTCTGAACGGGGCACCCAAGCAACCCACCATCCCAGGCTGGTCCTTTCAGCACTTGGGGTGTTTTTTCCCGGGCGGGGATCACAAACTGCCCAGAGTTCCTCCTGTTTAGTCCTTGGTGCGTAAACCAGGCGGGCCCCATTTTGCCCCCGGAAGTGCATTTGGCAAGGGAGAAAACCAGCCACGGGCCTCACTCCCACCCCGGTTGGCTCCTTGCCGCTTGGTTACCTGTTGAGTCGCCCCAGCAGTTCCTGGACTGCGCTGAGATCAGCATCCCTCACCTCCTGCACGAGGACAAGGTCGTACCGGGACAGGATCTGAAAGGGGCGAGCACAGCTTGGGTGTGAGTGGCAGGTGCTGGCACGGGAAGGGGGGCAGAAGGGCCCTCTAGCCAGACGGGAGCCAGCAGCCCCCACAGGCGGAGCTCTGGCAGGGCCCTTCGCCCCAACAGGCTTTCCAGCCCCAATGCCTCCGAGCAGGGAGGCTCCGGCTCTTGACTTTGATGCCTAGTGGTTACAAGTCACCTTCCTCTGCTTCTCAGCTGGCCTGCCATCTGGCCACTAACAGTTTCCTGCCCTCACCTTCACAATAATTTTGGAAACGCTCTGGTCCGACAGTTTGCTGTCTCCAAAACTCTGGATGTTGAAGGTGCAGATTTTCAGGGCTGCCGCTGCGTGGAGCATCAAGGCCAGCCCAGGGAGGGCAGCTGCTAGTTTCATGCTGCTTCCTGAAGCGGGGGGGGGGGTGAGGGGACAGAGAAGAGGGGTGTGGACGAGGCGGAGTGGCTACCCGCAATTCGACTTCATGGTCAGCTGCTGCTGTGGCTTTTCCCAACCGGTGGTGGGGCAACACCGAGAGCCCCCAAATGGCTGCCGTTTCCATACTGGAGCCGTGTTCCCAATGCAACCCATGAGATGCAAGAGCAGAAAACTCTGGAGCCTCCCCCAGGCTCCCTCGAGGGCCACGCAGGCAGGAGCAGCGCTGGGGCCCTTGGGGGGTCGGCCCGGATCTTCTTGAATTTCCCGAGAACAGACTGGGAATCTTGTTCGCCTGACCATGTGCAGCTCATCCCCATATTGAGAGCCTGTGAGGGTTCCTGGCCCGTGGCTCCCCTGCCCATCTGCTCTGTTCCCCAGACGGCACCTCTGGCCTCTTGAGAGATTCAGCAAAGACCAGAAAAGACCAGCAGATTTCATTGAACTGGGCCTGATGTCACCACGTATTTATTACTCACAATAAATGCCAAGCAAACCGGTTCAGTAACATAATAAAGGATGCCGTGCTCAAGCTGCGCTGCCCGTCTTCATTTCCCCAGTTCCTTTGGGGCAGCCGTGCCCTGCTCCTGCCCCACCCATGACACCTGGGGAAAGCGGCTGGCGGAGCACTTCCAACTGGCACCGCTTTGCTGCCAGCCCCCTTCCTGGCCGCTAATGCAGCTCGGCCTTTGGACTGCCTCCCTACAGAGCACCCCAGGGCTGTGAAAGGGATGGGGGGGGCGGTTAGAGGGTTATTTCCCCCTTCTGCGAGAGACTTTACTCTCCATTAGAGCCAGCCCAGCTGCTGCCTGTTGCCCAACGGCTCCAAGCTTTGCGCCAATCCTGAGTCTCTGAGAGTGGGCGGCATACAAATTAAATCAATCAATCAAATCAGCCAGCAGTTCATTTCCTTGAAGGGACCCCAAGGAAGAGGGAGCGAGAGGTGAGGAATGGCCGTTCCCTCCCGCAAGGGCAGAGCCAGGGAGCTTCGAGGGCCTCCATTAAGCAGGTGCCTACCGTGAATTGAGTCCAAAGGTGGCTTGGCAGAGTCTGGACTCCCACTGAGCCCTGGAGCATCCAGCTTCCTCCTCGGTTTGAAAGTGCGTCAGGTATTAAGGGGAGAAGCGAGATGCCTCCTCCGCCCCCCCTCCTGCCCCTTGGCTGCAGTGATGCAAGGGCCCTGCCCTGGTGGGAGTGGAGAGGATGCTCTGGTGCGGCTGACTCCACCCTGGGAAGCCCCCGCAGCTCTTGGCTCATCAAAGCCGCAGAAGCTGTTGCGCAGGCCTTGCGCTTCCTCCCTTCCCACAACGCCATTGCTCAACTCTTGGAGGGTCAACAGGTTCAACTTGCTACGCTTGCAGGTTCCCCGAGAACTTTTACCAGTTGGATCTTAGCCGAAGACTCGCTGCCCCTTGCCCAAAGCGATGAGTCCATCCTGGGCTTGTCCAGGGACTTCTCAATTATAGAACAAACCGTCGCTCAAGATTTTAAAATGGGGTTGAAATGTTCTCCCAGTTTTAGAATGGAATGTGGAAAACATGCTGAGCCGGAGGATTGCCAAGGGCCGAGCGTGCCATGCAAGGAGCCAGCTGGGGTGGGAGCGCAGAGCAGCTGGAACAGGAGCCTTGGAAGATAAAGGGGAGACCATCCGGGGTCAGTGGAGGCAGAAGTGGGGAGTGAATTGGGGATAGGAGGGGGAGAGCCCCCCGATTGCTCGTCCCAGGCAGGGATAAAGGTCCTCATCCGAAGCAGTGATGGGGAGTTTGGGGACCAAGGTGGCTGCCCCCAGTTCCAAAGAGCTGTGCCCAGGGGAATGCGGGCAGCCCCAGGCAGCTCAGCAGAGCCTGCTTAGAGACGTCCAACCAGGCCGAGCCTTTGCATTCACACCCGATGCAGCTGCTTTGTGCTGGGGGTCTCACCTGGCCCCAGTCACCACGGTGGGTTGTCCTGGGATTACAGGGACTCCGTTGTGTATCCAGAGTAAACTATGGTCTCACATGGTGTGTGTGTCCAGCTGGGATGCCCATTGGCCTGGCAGGTAGACAAGCCCAGGAGAAGCAGGGGGGGGGGTGCTGGCTGGCTGAGGGGTGTGGGAGGCCTGACTGGTGAGAGCAGCTGGAAACGGCCACCTTTCACAACTGCTGCGGCTGCTGCGCTTTGCACAACTGGCTGCTCCAGCGGATGCAAGGGGGGCCTTGGGAAAGAGCCCTCGGCTGCTGCAAGGCCGGATGGTTCGCAATCTCTGGGCCTCTTTGACCACCCTGGAGTTTCCCCATCACCTGAGGCACTGGAGACAGGCTGAGGCCCTCAAGGGGTTGCCAGGGGCGAGGACAGCCGAGGACCAGCCAGGGCAGCAACGACTGGCGCTGGCAGCCCCTCAGCTCAGGGGGTGGAAGAGCCCCTTTTGGCCTTCCAGGGATGGGCGGGTGGATGTCCCAATGGCCAGCAGCCCGGCCAGGGTGGTGACCGACTGCACAGCCTCTGGGCCCAGAAGGGCCTGGACAGACTCTGGCTGCAAGGGACCTTGGCTGCCCTGGAGGGGGGTGTGTGGCCGGGCAGAGGCACCTTTCCAGCAGGCCATTCATGTTCTCCAAGTGCTCATTTGTTCTCCGTGAATGCTTCTCTTTTGGCACTTCGCCGTCGCTCATCAAATCCATAAAGGCCTTTGAATGCAGTTAATCTTTTTATTATTTAAGCTTCCGCTGTGTCAGAAAGAGAGCCTGCCGAGGTTCTCCGTGCTGAGCTCCGAGGGAACCGGAGCGGCTTCTTTGGACGGGCTGGCTGGGCCTGGAGGGCTCAGGTGGATTTCAGGGTCACCTCCACGGGAAAATGGTCACTTACAGCCAAGGCCTGCCGGGGGCAAACACGCATCAGAGCAGGGGCCAAATATCTGGATCAGGCCCAGTGCTGCTGTGTCCAAGAATGGGCAGCCGGCCACAAACCTTCCATAATGCGTCTCGTGTTGGAGACACATTATTTAGGGTGGAGAACCTTGGAGCCTCCAGGCCTCTTTTGTGAGGAGGGGGTCTGTGGCAGAGCCGGGCCCCAAAAGCAGCGGTCGTCCCCTGGCCTCAAACCGCTTCAACCCACTGAAGTGGTTTTTCTCTCGGGGAGGGTCAGAGAGGCCCCGGGTGTCTCCCAGGAAGGAGGCAGTTTTCAGGTTCGGACAACCCCTCCTGACCCCCTGCCAGATATTCCACCCCTCCCCTCTCTTCTCCCCCAGAGGCCGCGAAGGAACTCTCACATCCTTGGAGCTCAACTTCAGGGTCTTCTGGAAGTTGTCCACTTGCGCTGTTGCAGGCAGGATGCTCTCTCTCAGCTTTGAACCCACTGCCACAATTCTGCAGCCAGACACAAGTGGGAAAGAGCACAAGAAGCCCAAGGATGACTGGAAGCTCAGGGAGAGCGGAAAGCTTTGTGAAGGGAGGTAGAGGTGTGCTTGCTAACCATGGGCGGAGCAAGGGAAATGGTTTTAAAACGGTTGTGTGGGGAAGGAAGTCCTTCCGGGCGCCTCCCCAAATAAGAGCTAGCGCCTTCTAGCACCTGGGCAGGTCGATGCTCTGAGGCTGCTCCTGGCCTTCCCAGGGAGGCCTCTGATGAGCGCTGGCTGGGGATAAGACTAGTCAGTCCCAGCCATGGCCAACTGGTGAGTACTGAAGGCAGCGGCTGCCTGGGTGGGAGGTGGCAAGAGAAGGGTGCCCGCCATCCCCCCCTCTGCCCCATGGAGAGCGGCCCCATTCCTCCCACCTGTCATAGGCACAGATGGTGTTGGTCACCGTGGTATCTGCCGTGTCTGGGATGAGCCACTGGAAGTCCTTGCTGGAACGCAGGCGGATGGAGGGCCAGTCCTCTGCCCGGACGTAATTACAGCCAGCGTTGAAGTCTCCCAGGAGGAGAACATCCTGCCAGGGGAACGAGTAGGATGTGTCTACCCGGCAATGGGGTGTTACACCAGCCGCAGCTCTCGTGTTGATGGGGGGGGGGCTGTAGCCCCTCCAAGGGAGGCGCTTACCGTGGTCCCCCACCTGTCTTTCACATCCTGGTAGACGTCATAGAGAGAGTCGATCTCGGTCACTGCGGCTTCGGGCGCTGCGTGCAGGGGCACCAGGACCAGCTCTTCCACCGCTGGGGGGGGGGAGTGGCAAACAGAGGTGGTGGCTTACAGAAGAGACACCCCCCCCTCTCCCAGCCGAAGTGCTTCCCTTTGCCAAGTGCTTCCTGTGGGTTTCTGGGTGGGGCTGCCCCTCCCCCAGAGGTTGCTTGGCCTGTGTTTTGGGAGGACTGTCCTGCACCAGCCGTTACTCCTTGCTGCATTGAGCCACACCGAGATGCCGGCCGGCCACAGTCTGGCTTGCCAAGCTTACAGCCGCCTGAGAAGCCCAGCAGGGCCGCCACTCACCTGCTTGAGAGACAGCAAATTTGACAATGAAGGGCTCCCTGCTGAAGGCGTCGTTGCCACAGGGCTCACAGCCGTCGTCGTAATAGTAGCTCTCCACTGGAGAGACTCTGTCCTGCCTGGACCAAGAGAATAGTGGCCACTGGATTCTCTCCCTCCGATGGCTCTTGTCCTCCCCCACTGTTAAAGATCTTCCCCTCGGAAGCTGGAGGGGCAGATGGGTGGAAAGGGAGAGGACCAGAGGGACGCCGGGCATTTATTTTTATTGGCCTCCCATCTTTCCAACAAGGATGTCTGAGGGCATTAAGATCAAACCAGAAAAACAACCTATACAAAAGAAAGCAAAGGACTTCAAAGCCTGGTGTCTGTGTGTGTTGTGTGTGTGTTGTGTGTGTGTGTGTGAAAGAGAAATGCACGGAATAGTGAGCAAAAGGAGACTTGCTGAGATCCAGAAACTGACTGGCAGCAGGAGATTGGCACCTAGCTTCAGGATCTCTTTGGCAGCTGCCCGGGTGATGTTTCCACCTGGGTCCTACCTGAGGCCTCACCTGTAAATGAAGAGGTACCGCTCCTTATAGCTGTTGCGCCCCAGGGGCTTGCTGATCAGGTAGCCGAAGGGATCTGGCAATGCCCTGGTGAAGAAAGATCATATTGGGAGGGGGGGGTGTTATCTCCACCAGGCCTGGCAAACTCTGTACGTGCTCAAGGGTCCCCCAAAGGAAAAATCCACTGCCAGGAAAAAGCGTTTGCTACGACTTTGCCCTCCTTCCCTGGGCTTATGCCGTCTGTGTGTGTGTGTGTGTGTGTGTGTGTGTGTGTGTTCCACACTCTGCTTTGTTCCACACGCCAAAAGGGGCTCGTCCCCCTCAGCAGCTGTCAAACTCACCCATTGATTAGCTGCATCAGCTTCTTGACCGCACTCAGGTCAGTATCTCGGACTTCCTGGATCAGGGCAAGGTCGTAGGCTGTCAGGATCTGGGGGGACAAAGCGGAGGAACCTGTCTGTCTGCAGCAACCGAGGGCAGGCAGCTCTGGGCCAGCAGGGCGAGAGAGCGGGATCTGACCCAGTGGGGCAGGCGAGCTCTGAGGCAGCTGGACCCTCAGCCCAAGGAAGGCTGCTCCTGGGCCACGAATGGGCACGAGAGGACGGTGGGCCAGGCTGCCCGAGGAGAGCCTCCCCGGTGCAGTCAGAGGGACTCACTCTGACAATGGAGCTGGAGATGGTCTGGTTGGAGAGCTTTTTGTCCCCAAAAGCCCTGATGTTGAAAGCGCCGATTCTCAGGGAGAGGGTGAGCTGCAAGAGGGAAGCCACCCCAAGGAGCGCCAGCAAGAGGGTCTTCATGGCCTCGTCCTGTAGAAGAGAAGGGAGCACGGAGGGTGCGACACTGGCGCCCCCAGGAGGCAGCTGGGCCCTGCGCTGCTCTCGGCCATTCCACTTCAGGGCAAACGGGAAGCATTCCCGGTGCGTTGATAGGACATTATCCAAACGGGGTGAAAAAGAAAGCTGGCCTGGAACAACGCTTGTAGTGGCATGAACCTCTGCAGCAGATGTGCTCGGCCATTGGTCAAATGCAAGGGGAATCCGCTTTGTGAACTTACAACAGGGGCATTTGCCACACTCTGTAACTTCAGGTACCCACAAATGCCACAGAACCGTTGCAAATGGCAGGAGGTGGCACCACTGGAATTTGGAAACTTACACGTGGGGCAGGGGAGGGCACTTCACCACCCCTGGGGAAAGTCAGAGGAGAATTTGGAAGGCTTTCACTTGATTAGCTGACAGAACAGGATGCCCTGGGGATTGGCGATTACGAGCATCTCAGCCAGGCAGAGAATGGGCTAAAAGCAAGCTGGGAAATGAACATTTCCCCCCAAGGAGGATTTTGCATGCTCTGCTGTCCCGTGGCTGGGAATTTCTAAAGGTAGCATTGCTGCATTGTTAGGGCCCGTTTCCCTGGTAGGCAGATAGGGCAGAGTGGTAGCCAGGTGAAGGCATGGAAAGGCATGCCAGAACTGGGGACAAAAGCACCAATCTGAGAGGTACCGAAGGCCAAACTCACCCGCTCTTGGTTTTAAGGCCAGCACCTTCACCCCCACCTGGCTCTCTAGGTGGGCTCAGGAGGCAGGCAATGCCTAAATGGGAGTATCCTGCTCCCTCTGCCAGCCAAGCTCTGAGGGTCAGAAAGATCTCGGCCCTAGTGCTGGTGTCCCCCGATGCTCTGGGTCAGCCAAAGGAGGGCTACAAAATTGCTCCAGGAGGGACAGAGCTGCTCCTTACCTGCCCAGGTCCAGTCCTGCTAGGGGGATCACAGATTTCCCAGCTCCCTTAAATAGGCTGGACCCCTGGCCTTGGCAGCTGTTTATTCTGTTTCTTATCTGAGCAGCTGTTGGCATTGGGCACCTCCCTCCTTGACAATGTCAGCAGCTATATGGCCCCTTGCACAGGGGCCTTGCCCCAACGGCAGAGAAAATGTGGGGAAACTCCCTAAGTGATACGAATGCGGGTTCTACCAGCAGCACCCAGACCCTTGCTTGCAATGCCAAGCGCTTTAACACCGATGCCCAATGGCTGCGTGGAAGACCAGAGCAAGGGTGGCAGGAGACAAGGAGGGCACGGAGACCCTCCAGACGGATGGAGTCTGATCGTGTGGAGGGGGGAAAAGGCTGAAGAGCGAGCAGGGGCGCTTTCTGCCAGGGGAGGACCGAGGAGATGCGCTGCCCACCCCCAAGAGGATGTCCAGGACCCCCGGGGCTCTTCTGCCCTCTGGGCTGCGCCTCCTCGCCCACCACGCTCTGCCCTGGCGGCCGCAGCTCCGGATCAAGGCCTCGGGGCGACACCTGGCCGAGAGGGACCTTGAAGCGCACCTGCCGGCTTCTCAGCTCCCGGGCCAAGCCGGCCAGCGTGGCAGCTTCCCAGGGGGTTGGCAGGGGCGGCTCCCCGGAACGACGGGGGCAAGAAGGCCGAGGCATCGCGGTCGGGGTTCGGCCCTTCCTGGCTTCCCGGCGGGCGGACTGGAACCCCGCTCTCGCCCCCCCCCC